TGGGGACACCTGCAGTGTGCTCTGCCCCCACCGCAGGGCTCCTCCTCAGTGCGGCCCACTGTGCTCGTCCCTCACTCTGACTGACAGCGTCTGTCTGTCCTTCCTCTGTGGGACCCTGCTGCCCTGGCAGCCAGGCTTCTGGCCTGGGACCCATTCATTAGTGCCCCTCTGTGCCCAGTGGGTCCCACACCACAGCTGACCCCTGGTCCGCTCACAGGCTAGGGTAGAGGTCAAGGCCGGTGATGGTGCTGAACCCCTGTCCTGGTGGTGCCCAGAGCCGGCTGGGACTTCTGACACCACCAGGTCCCTGCACAGGCTGAGCCTGTAGGCAGCTGGCCCCCGCCCCTTCCCGTCCCTCTGGTAGCCAGCCAGATCTTCTAGCCCATGTCACGTCCCCAGGTGGTGGCCGTGTACAACCTGACGCTGCAGGTGGCCGACATGTCTGGAGAGGGCCTCACCGCCACGGCCTCCGCCATCATCTCCCTGGACGATGTCAATGACAACGCTCCCGAGTTCACCAGGGACCAGGTGCTGCCCCTGCCCCACTGGCCCTGGGTGGGGCTGGCCTGCCTCTCAGAAGGGTCCTGAGCCAGGAACCCGGGCCGAGTGTGAGGGTCCACCAGGACAGGCGCTGCAAGTGGGACAGGGAGAAGTGGCCATGTGTGACCGTGGCTCAAGCAAGGAGCGTCTCCTGGGGGAGCAGCCAGCCCTGTCCTTTGGGGGAAGGTGGCACACATGGATAGTGACTCTGGAAACAACCCAGGACACATGGTGGTGGTGGCAGAGCAGGCTTGAGGGAGGAAGGTGTCCCCAGGGAGGTGGCATGGCATGGCCAGCCATGAGTAACCAGCTGGTCCCCCTAGTTGTCCATGGAGGCTGCAGAGGCCATCAGTGGAGTGGATGTAGGACGCCTCGAGGTGGAAGACAGGGACCTACCTGGCTCCCCCAACTGGGTGGCCAGGTTCACCATCCTGGAAGGGGACCCGGAAGGACAGTTCACCATTCGCACTGACCCCAAGACCAACGAGGGCGTGCTGTCAGTGGTGAAGGTGAGGGCCCCCGTCACGTGCACACCTTGCCCTGGCAGAGGTGTGGACCCCGCACCCTGCACGCCCCGTCCTGAGCTCTCCTGGGCTCCTCCTGCAGTGTCTGCTGACCTCCTGGTCTCGCCTGCGTCCTGGGGTGAGAGGAGGGCAGAGCCTGCTGGGACTCCAGGGTCCAGGGCACCCTGACCCGGGGCAGCAGGCCGAGGGAGCTGCCAGTCGCCTGTCTCCATGACTGTGGTCCACGTCTGTGTGCTGCCTGTGTCAGTCCCAGTGCTCCCAGGCAAGCAGAGGCAGCAGGAGCCACACAGAAACACGCGTGCACGTGCACACATGTCTGTGGACAGGCACATCTCAACGTCGGTGCACTAGAGAACTTTCTGTGAGACTGGGGCTGTAGCTCTGTGGTGGAGCATATGCAGGCCTCTGGGTTCAATCAGAGGAAGGAGAAAGAAACTGATTTGCAAGAAACTGACTTGTGCCTTTGGGGCTACTGGAAACTCACTCAGGAAGCAGAATTTCTTTGTCCTCAGAGACAAAGCGCTCTGCTCTCAAGGCCGCACCTACTTAGGGAGGGCCCACCATGAGCCAGGATGGTGTCTGCTCAGCATCAGCTGATCCCATCCCCCAGGTCCTGCACAGAGAAGTCTGCTTGGCCTTGGGCGGCTGTGGTCTGCTCTGACACACAGACGGACACACCACCCCCAACAAGTTCATTTTGTGGTGTTGGTATTGTCCTTTGAGGCGTTTAGTCCTGCACAGTTTTGACCTGTCAAGGTTAAAAGGGGATGAAGGGGACACATGCTCTTGGGACGGGCCCAAGGAGTGCCCCCCAGGAGCCCTGTTAGGTGCCTGGACTTGCACCCAGAGTGGGTGGCCTCTGCTCCTTCCACAGCCCCTGGACCACGAGAGCCGTGAGCACTATGAGCTCATGGTGACTGTGCAGAACGAGGCCCCACTGCAGGCAGCTGCCCCCCGGGCTCAGCGGGGCCAGGCCAGGGTCAGCGTGAGGGTGCAGGATACCAACGAGGCCCCTGTGTTCCCGGAGAGCCCACTGCGGACCAGCCTGGCTGAGGGGGCACCCCCAGGAACCCCTGTGGCCCTCTTCTCTGCCAGAGACCCTGACACACAGCAGCTGCAAAGAATCAGGTGGGCCTGCTGGGTCCCTGGGGACCAGGTGTGAGTGCGCTGCCCTGGCTCTGAGGCAGAGGCGGAGAGATTGTCCGTGTGCATCCCGTGGGGTCTGGGGCCCTGCTGGGCTGTGTCCCCGGGGGCGGGGCAGGGCTCTAGGTGTTCCTGTGGACCTGGCCACAGTCTGTTCCCAGTGACCTCTGAATGTCCACTCTGTCTGTGCTGGTGGGCCCTAGTTCCTGCAGGCCTGGTTGGGAGTGTTTTAACTCACCCCCTGCTGACCTGGCCCAGTGTGCTTGTCTGCCACCACGGGGCTTCTGTACACACCTGGCACTGACCAGGACTCAGTTCAGGCTGTTTCTCAAGGCCCTGGGCAGCTGCTGGAAGCTTCAGCTTCCTCATCTGGCTGGGGAAGGGACTCTGCACCCAGGCCCCTGAGTGCTGTTGTGGGTGCATATGCCCGGCCTGGGGGTGTGCGTGTGTGCAACACGAGAGGTGCATGTGTGCATGGCTGTCGTCGGGTCTGCAGGGTACGTCTGTGTGACCCCGTGCCAGGATGTCCTGGTAGGTTCCACTCCTCTCCACCACAGCTATTCCAAGGACTGTGATCCCGAGGATTGGCTGCAGGTGGACAGAGCCACAGGCAGGGTGCAGACCCAGCGCGTGCTGAGCCCCGCCTCCCCCTTCCTCAAGGACGGCTGGTACCGGGCCATCGTCCTGGCCCTGGATGACGGTGAGTGGGACCCTGTGCCTGGCTTCAGGGCTCTCTGGCCTGGCCGGGCCTCTCTCCTCCCAGGGCTCCACCCAAAGGGTGGGTGGTGGGCTGGGGCAGGGCACCCAGCCTACTGCCGCCTGCCTGCAGGCTCTCCACCCAGCACCGGCACAGGCACCCTCTCCATCGAGATTGTGGAGGTCAACGACCATGCACCTGTGCTGGCCCCTCCATCGCCCAGCAGCCTGTGCAGTGAACCGGACCAGGGGCCTGGCCTCCTCTTGGGTGCCACAGATGAGGACCTGCCCCCACACGGGGCGCCTTTCCTTTTCCAGCTGAGCCCCAGGTTCCCAGAGCTCAGCCGGAACTGGAGTCTCAGCCAGGTTAACGGTGAGTCCCCTAGCTAGGGCCTGGGACCTGGTGGTGCCCAGAGGGCATGCGACACTGGCCACATCTTCAGACTTCTCATGCCCAGTGGGTGGACGGGAAACCGAGGCCTAGGGATTCGGATGCTGTTTGGACGTAGGGAGGCCCCAGGGTCTCTGCTGACAGAGTGGCCCTCTCCAGTGAGCCACACGCGCCTGCGGCCACGGCACCAGATCCCTGAGGGCCTGCACCGCCTCAGCCTGCTGCTCCGGGACTCTGGGCAGCCGCCCCAGGAGCGCGAGCAGCCACTGAACGTGACCGTGTGCCGCTGTGGGCCCGACGGCGCCTGCCTGCCGGGGGCCGCTGCGCTGCGGGCCGGGGGCGCGGGCGTCAGCCTGGGCGCGCTGGCCATCGTGCTGGCCAGTGCCATCCTGCTGCTACGTGAGTGCCCCGCCCAGGCGGACCCGCCCCTCCCCTAGATCCGCATGCGGGCCCCGCCCCGCCCTCCCTCGGGTGGACTTCCACACTCCCACCCAGCCCCGACGTCACCGCCCTCCGCTCGCCCCAGTGCTGGTCCTGCTCGCGGCGCTCCGCTCGCGGTTCCAGCAGCCGCCGCGGGATAAGGGTCTGCTGCGCGGGCTACAGGACGACCTGCGGGACAACATCCTCAACTACGACGAGCAGGGAGGCGGGGAGGAGGACCAGGTCAGTGGAGCAAAGGTGGTGGCTCAGAAATGCTGAGCCCCGGCCCGGGGCTCCCCAAGGAATGGGGCCCTTCCCAGCCGCTGGACGGCACCCAGAGCCGCCCGGTGCCTCCCTAACCGCACTTCCTGTGCTCCCAGGATGCCTACGACATAAACCAGCTGCGCCACCCTACAGAACTGCCTGCTCTGAGCCTCCCCTTGGGACGGCCACCCCTGCGCCGTGATGCTCCCTTTGGCCACGTGCCCCGCCAGCCACACCGCGTGCTCCCCACCAGCCCTGCTGACATGGCCAGCTTCATCAGCGATGTAGGTGGCCCTGGGGAGTGTGGAGGTCAGAGGGGGAACTGTGCATGCCCACACGCACACCCTTGAGTGAGCACACATGCACAGGTACATATGTGTGAGCTCACCGGCCTTTCGGTCTCCACACTGTGTGTCCACCTGGGATATTAGCCCCCGGGCTGCAGGTGATCAGAGAGGACTCACTGGTGGGACCCTGGACATGCTTCGGGGAAGCCTGAGCTGCAGCAGGGCCAGCAGGCCGGGTGGGCACATTCCAAGCTTAGCATTGGGGGTGGAGTGTGGTGTCAGTCTCTACGTGACAAAGGGAGATTGGCCATCTACTGGCTGGGACTTGGACCCAGGTGGCCCTTGTCCTCCATCTATGAAGCTCATTGTGTGGGTTAAGAGGCTGGACTTTCTCTGGCTCACTACAGTGGTGGGTAAGAGGCTGGACTTTCTCTGGCTCACTACAGTGCTGGGTGGGTATCAGTATCCGTGGGCCTGCTTTCATGGTCAGCTGAGACATCACAGTAGCCATTTGGATACTCCCAAGCTACATGCAAGATGCCCAGAACATGCAAAGCCACGGGGCCATGCAGGGAGACGTCCACTATTCACTGTCATGCAAAGCCCCAGCAAACTCAGTCACCCTGCAGCAGCAGGCACAGTGCTGGTGCTGTTAGGAGTGACTCGCAGCTGCTCGTGGTCCAGGGCTGGCTCCTTCCACCTTACCGCCCGAGGACTGCCCTCTCAACCCTGCTGTGCCCTGGGGGCTCTGCTACTGCAGACCTCCCCTGGCTTGCGACAAGAGTGTGGCAGCTCCCAGCTGGCCTCTGCCGTCCTAAGCTCTGTGGGCCTTTCTGCAGGGCCTGGAGGCTGCGGACACTGACCCCAGCGTGCCACCCTATGACACGGCTCTCATATATGACTACGAGGGGGACGGCTCTGTGGCAGGAACGCTGAGCTCCATCCTGTCCAGCCATGGTGACGAGGACCAGGACTATGACTACCTCAGGGACTGGGGCCCCCGCTTTGCCCGCCTGGCAGACATGTATGGGCATCCATGAGAACCAAGGCCAGGAGTGGAATGTGCTGTTTGGATGTGGCCACCTGACAGGGAGGGGGCCTTCTGGGGGCATCTGCACCCAGAGACCAAAGTGTAACCTCAGGGCTGACAGGGAGCCCATTCATGGCAAAGGCGACCTCACCAGACCACTTCCTCTGGCCTTTCTCCCAAGGCAGGATGAGTGTGAGGGGACAGCACTTGGAGTCTGGAGTGAGTGGCAGGAGGTGGCACCCTCCTGCTGGAGTTGGGGAGCTGCTTCCCATCCTTGCTGGGGTCACCCCACCTTTGCCCCCCCTGGAGGCCTCTCCTCTGTATGGAAGCAAGAGCCTCGTGGTGAATCAGAGTTAAAGTCTGGCTAGTTTATCCAGTGCTCGGTCAGTGCCCGCACCACCATACCCACAAGGGCACCAGGGTCCCTGTCCCCAAGAACAGGGCTCTGCCAGGCAGGCTGTGCCTGGCAGGAAGCCACAGCCTGGGGCAGGGGAGGTGGGAGGCCTGACCTGCTCTGGCCATCCTGGTGAGGCCAGAGTGTGTGCCATGTGGGTCAAGGCACCAGGCCAGCCCTGCCCACCTGGTGGACGCCACACTCCATGGCTGCCTCTGCCCATCTGGTGGCATGGCCACGGAAGAGAGGAAGCCAGCCCCCCAGACCAAGAGGCCCGTCCAGGGCCCCTTCCTGCTGTGTCCACCGCCTCCCTGCCCACACTGACTGGCGGTCTTGGTGGGATGTGTCTGCCTCGCTGTGGCAGCTCTGGTCAGCCCGTGGGGTGTTCAGCTGTGGCCCTTGTCCTGGCTCACAGGCCCCCCCCAGCAACAGTAGTGCTGCTGGGCAGTGTGGCTGCTCATCCCGAAGGGGAGGGCAGCAGCAGAGGCAGGTGGTCCTGGGGTGGACACTGTGGGGACCATGTAGGTGGTCAGCATCTCCCGGCCATGGGTCTCGGGCAGCAGCAGGACACAGAGCAGGATGAGGATGGCCAGGGAGGTGAAGACCGCATCTTGTAGGAGGAAGCCGTGCCGGCCACGAATGTCAGTGAGCGGGGCAGCAGCCCGGCCCAGGAACCCGGCCCCCAGCACCAGGCCTAGCCCGGCTCCCCTGTGGGAGAGAGCATGGGGTGCAGCCGGGTCCCCAGTGTGCTGGGGTTCCAACCACTGCCCTGGGCAGGGAGTGGGTGGCCTCCCAGAGCTGGAGGTGCGGCTCCGGGAAGCAGACGTGACCAGCTGTTCTCTTCTGCCCGAGGTCTGCCACCCTCGAAGGCTCCTCACCCCACACCTCCTTCCCAAGCTGTGCCCAAGTCCTCCTGTGGGTGGCCCCGGTCATCCAGGAGGGCAGCGCTCAATGGCCCTATTCAGGTGCAGGATGGCGGGGGCACAGGCCTCTGTCCGGCTGACCCTTCCACGTTGCTGGCCAGCTCTGCACTCACCTCATCACGGTGGGGAAGGCCTCGGCTGCAGAGAGAACACTGGGCACCGACACAGCCTGGGAGGCCAGGGGCCCCAGGACAGAAAGGGACAGTGGGGTCCAGCCTGGCAGGTCTGGGGACAAAGGGCAAGGTCCTCAGGGCTCTCCCCCAGGCCTTCTGACCCGACGCCTCAGGGCCCCTCCGTCCCCGATGCCCCCCTCACTGTGGCATATGGGGGTCCATTCCCTCATACCCTCCCGTGCAGACAGCTTGGATTCTAGAGTCTTGCCAGAAACACAGCTCAGGGACTGTCCACCTGTAGCCTCTCTGCTCATGCTACTTCCTTTGCAATTTGAGAACTGTCCCCAAAGTCTGAACTATTTCCTTTCTGTGCTAGATTAGATGGCCCTGTGGAGAGGATTCTCCCATGCCAGCCCCAACCGGCCTTGGCTGCTCGAGGCTGGCAGAGCCTACTAGGCCTGACCTCTGAACTTTCACCTACACTGTGTCGGGCACAGGTGGCCAGGCCCAGGCAGGACAGCAGTAGTTGGCTGTCATGAGGGATCTTCTTGGTCCCTTCACTTTTTCAGGCCTTGATTTCCCCTGGTCTACGTGGGGGATGGAGGGAATAGGAAAGTAGGAGCTCGGTGCCTCTCCCCGTGGGCACCACGACCAGGTCAGACCTTTGGCCCACACCCAGTGACCCCTGTGTGGCCTGCTTGGGCCCCAAGCTCACACTGAGCCCCAGCGAGGAGTAGCAGGGATGCCAGGCCTGCAGCCATGGTGCCCAGCAGCAGGACAGGGCGGCGTCCACAGCGATCTGCCGTCAGGAACAGCAGTACGGTGGCTGCAGCCTCCAGGCCAGCTTCCAGGAAATAGGGCAGGTAGAAGGCAGGCTCGCCTGGGGCCAGGCTGCGGAGGAAGCCGGCCCTGATGCCCCCACCGGTCAGCCTGGAGGGAAGCAGAGCTGTATCCACCAAACACCCTCCCCTGGGTGGCTGCAAACCCTGGCCCACCCCGGGCCTGCTCCTCCTCACGAACTGAATCCCAGGATGAGCCCGCTCCTCCAGGTGACACGGGTGTGCAGGAGGCCCAGGATGGAGTGGTACTGGGGCTGCGGGTTGCCTGCAGACAGCGCGGCCAGCTCTGGGCCAGGGAGAGGAGGGAGCAGGTGAGAGGGGCAGGGGGCCTCCCAGGCCCTCCGTCCTCTAGCCCCTGCCTGGCCACTCCCTGGCTAGTGCGTTACCTGTAGCCAGGGAGTTCTCCTCTGAGGAGCTGTCATCAGGGTCCAGGCCGCTGGCTTCTGCAAAGTGCCACAGAATCCTGCCTGCTTGGGTCACCTGCCCCGTGGCCAGAAGCCAGCAGGGAGACCCAGGGAACAGAGCTGGGAACCTGCAGGGTGGTCAAGGATGCCTGTGGCCTGCTCACCTCTTCCATGATGGAGCAGCAAAGCCAGTGCCCTCCCTGGACCGAAAGGGGTTGGGACATGGATGTGGCTTGTGGGGACATGGATGTCACCCTGTGCTGTGGCCAAGTAGCAGGTGTAGAATGGAAGTACAGAGAAGGTATCTACTGGCCCCCAGGGCGGCCCCTGCCCAACCCCTGTAGTACTCACCCCCAAAAGAGCAGCAGGAATCCAGTCACCAGGGCGTTCAGGCCCTGCAGAAGGCGCCAGTCCTGCACCAGCATGGCCAGCCCAGGCAGCAGCAGGGTGCCCACCACTGAGAAGAGGCCAGCTCCCATGGAGAAGGCCAGGCGGTGTGGGGGTCACACAGCTCCAGGCCTAGGCAGACAAAGACGGCTGAGGCCAAGGCTTCTCGGAGTACTGCTGTCTGGAGCTGGATTTGGGGGCCACCTGTCACCAGCCTGAGTTGGGGGCTCTGGAACAAACACCAGTGGCCACTGCCTTCCTGAGGAGGGTCCTCAGGGAGTGCCAGAGTGGGTCCTGTGCTGGCCACTGCCCCTCCCCAGGCAGCCCCTCACACTACTCACGAGCTACATAAAGGGCAAGGAGGGCCCTGCCAAGGTGCCCCCGTGGAGAGACCTCAGGGCCAGGAGGGTCTGGAAACTGCAGCCAGGGCTTCACTGGCCCCTAGGACTGTGGCCAGCACCAGGGAGACCACAAAAACAGCCCGGCGGCCAAACCTGGTGGGCAGGGGGACACATGCTGGTGTGGGTCAGGGTGCACCTTACAGGCTGGGAGCTAAGGGCAGAGGAAGGGCAGGGTCTCACCTGTCACACCCTGCACCCAGAAGGACACAGCCTAGCAGCCCGCCCAGGAAGTGGCACGTCTGCTCCAGCGGCACCTTCCAGCTATCTTTACACACCAGGTCCCACTGTGGGGAACACTAGCCATTGTGGACCAGCCCAGGACTCGCCCTTGCTGGGGGTACAAGATGCTGGGAGCCCCAGAACCCTCTCTGGGGACAGGAGAGGGCAAGGAACTTGGAAATGAAACAGCAGCTTTTTTGACTCTGGTGGTCTTTGCCTAGAATTGGAACAACCTCTGATTTGAGCCCTCGGTGGCAATGCCTTGGGGTCCCCAAGATTCTACATGCAGCCCCAAGTCATCTGTGGGGGGATCTTCCTGCCCTAAGGTTTTGCTTTTCCCAGAAGCGCCGTCCCACCCTCCCCCACGTCTGGCCCTGTTGGCCCTTCACTGTCCCAGTGATACACAGGGCCTGGGGCCTCGGGCTCCACGTCCTGCCCACCCTTCTGCCCTCGCCCTGCCGGCTCTCAAGAGCAACTCGGTCGGTCGGGCGGAGAGTGCTCAAGGCTTTTCCTTGCCGGCAGCCAAGGGCCCTTGACCTCCCCTTTCCCATTCCTGCCTCTTCTCCCCAGGCTAACAGTCCTGGGGGTCCTGCTAGGCCGTTTTTATTTTAAAACCCGACCCTTCTGAAGGTGAGGGGCATGGATCCATCAGGAGCCAGCAAGAGGGACGCTGGGAGTCGGAGGAGCAGAACCCCACCAGTTTCAGGGACCCAGGCAGGCCCTCAGAGATGTGGCCACTGTTCCCTCCCACTGAGGCCACTGCTCCGGGTGAAGAGGGCTGCCGAGGGGAGGCAGGCTAGTGGGAAGGGTGCCCGTTTCCCAGAACCCTGAGCCCACACACAGATCTCCCTCTGAAATGAAACTGACAGCCATTCCCTCCATTCAAAACCGCCTGTTCTGGAGTGGTACTGGGGCCCACTCCATTCAAAACCGCCTGTCCGGGTAGGTCCCAGCACCTACCTGGCCCAAAGCCATTAGTTGCTCAAAACGAGCCTGGAACTTTGAATTCCAGGCCCTGCTTACCACCCACGCCCCCCTGCCTTCACCTCCAGCCTAAATTCTCCTGCCTGTAGCCCACGCATAGTGGTGGCCAAGAGTCCTGGTGTACCTGCTGCACCCGCACGGCGGGAGGGGGCGGGAGAGCCCCAGTGAGAACCCCGGCAAAGGCACAGGGAGGGACCCGCAGCAGGGCAGAAGACCCCCAAACCACCCACGTCCCTGCCCCGCTCGTTCCTGGGCAGACCCCTCGGGCGGGCGCACCTGGGTGACCGGGCTGTGCATCAGGCCAGGGGAGCGTATAGAGCCAGCCGCGCGTGCAGGACCGCGTGCCGTTTGGCGCGAGCGCGGAGCTCGGGCGGGCGCCGGCCACCGGGTAGCGCAGGAGCAGGCACGGGCTCAGGGCGCG